TTAATCAAAAGCAGGGAAAAGACTTCTAACGAGATACCCAACGAAGTCATCCATCTCTTTTACCCAAATACTGGAGCAAATAATTTCAATACAACAAAACTGGCGAACACGATGACCGACGAGTTCATTTCGACTGCCAATTTTAAAATTAAGTCAAGTTCCTTAACAGAACGCAGCAGAGCAAACATTTTAGAAGCTGTGAAGGGTTTCAAGCCATCAGAAACATAGGGAATGCCTCATACATTGCAGCTCAAAACATCGATAAAATATATGGTAACCGTCAACATAAACACGTGTGATGGATTAGCAAATGGTGCTACAGGGGAACTAATGCAGGTGGATACCGAATCGTCTGGACCTGAAAGCACAGTGGTGCGACTATGGATGAAATTCGCAGAACCAAGAGTTGGAAGCTTTGCACGTTCCAAGCAGCCGCATAGTTGCAATGCAGATTGGACACCAATCAAGAGCGTGGTCCGATCATTCCAATACAAGCGAAATGAACAAATAACAATAGAACGTAGACAGTTCCCTGTCATTCCAGCCGAAGCCGTCACGATACATAAAAGCCAAGGTGGAACATACGCTCAAGTTGCGGTTCATCTAGAGGATAGAATTAGCAGGTCAGGTTTATATGTAGGATGTAGCAGAGCCATAAATGCCAATGGATTATATATAATCGGGAAATTTTCTCCTCCGAACCTATTTGGACAGCAGGATCCCATTAAAACTCAACTTAATAAATTGAGGACAGAAGGTGCGTTGACGACRTGCTACAGATTTTTAGCSGAAAAATCGGAACAACGCCTGGATATTTATTACCAAAATGTGAGAAGTCTATTCAAGCATATTGCKGATATCAGATCAGATAAACTGATTTGTTCTGCTGATATTCTGTACTTTGATGAGACTTGGGCTTTATCTCAAAAATAATTTCCAATACAGGGCTATAATGTTATTGCACGCCTTGATGGAGAAACAAGGTCATCCCGACGACGCCCGGCCAACGGCCTTATAATATACTCAAAMCAAGATAGGTGCCYAGATCTATCRGAAGGATCATTATCAAGGAACGTCACAGGTTCAGCAAACGTTTACCAACTATTAAACGTAAACAATTCGACAGTTTCTTTATCACTTGTGTACAGGAATCCCAGGTATAGACTGCAACAATTTAGAGAGCAAGTGATAAATAATGTCCGTCAGATAAATGAGCAGTTTAATGGATCATCAGTAGTCCTTGGAGACTTTAACATATGTCACCTCACAGCAACTGACGATTTAGAGGGTCGATTACAACAGTCGGGATTTCAATGTACATTGCCCAACGCCGCCACAACAAAACAGCAAACCGCAATATATTGAGTATGGACACACATGGATCCAGCAATGACCTCGTGTATCACATATCAAATACCATATAGTGATCATGACGGAATATTTTTAAGTTTTAGAAAATAGATATGTTATATATGTAGATATACATATGTTAGATTCAATATTAATATACGAGGTATGTTCAAAAAGTATCGCGAATTTAGTGTTTTTTCAAAAATTATTTATTTATTCATTAATATCTCTTTTATCCCCTTCAAAGTAATCCCCACTTGTGCCAACGGTTTTTCCAATCTTCGAAGCACTTCAAAAAATCATTTTTTTTTTTTTATCTTCTTCAGCTCCTCCTTCGATGCCGTCTTTATCTCGTCAAGGAAGCGTAACGTCGTCCTCTCATGAGCCTCTTCAATTTAGGGAACAAGAAAAAGTCACAGGGGGCCAGATCTGGGGAATACGGTGGCTGCGGCACCATTAGTGTGTTGTTTTTGGCCAAAAAGTCGCGTACAAGCAACTATGTGTGAACAGGGGCGTTATCGTGGTGCAAAAGCCAATTCTTGTCAGATCTTCTCGGCCTTCTGAGAACATTTTKTACCACCGATAAACGTTGCTTCGGTCCAAGGTAGCTTCTCCGTATGCCACAGTCAACATTCGGAATGCATCTGCGCACGTAATTTCATTTTTCACACAAAATTTGATACAGGTTCTTTGATCCATTTTTTTAAATAGGTAAAAATCGAAGACGATCCAAAACACGTGCAAGCAAAGCAGCTGTCAAGAATTAAA